TGCGTATTATCTATACATATAAAGAAGAGAACCTGTGTGTTTGGGTTGTCCTCTAATAATTCAGTCACTATTATAGCTATCGTCACCAAACTTTCTTCAATTCTATTCTAGGTCTTGGAAAAGGTCGGCGTCCACTATTTTTCCAAACAAAAAGTAGCTAAAATCGGAAATATTAATTAAAAACACGGAAAAACGATCATTTTCGCCCTCATTTTTGCTTGTGGCAACAGTCTCGCAAGTCGGAGATGAAAATCTGCTTTGCTTCGAAAGTTGTTGCCACTGCTCGTTTTCAAATCCTAGAGTTTGTTATTAAAAAAATTCCAAGTTTTACTACGAAATAAAAATAGCATTGCCAAATATTAAATGCATTAATTCCGATTCTAAAAATCGGTGGGAAGCCATTTTGACTATTCCCATCTTCGTACGACTTTAATCCGTCGAAATATTAATTAAAAAGTCTGAAAGCGCTCATTTTCGCACTTATTTTTCCGAGTGGCAGCAGTTTAGTGCGTTGGAGATAAGAAATGTTTTATTTCGAAACGGATTGCTAATGCTCGCTTTTGAAATCGTAGAGGTTGTTAATAAAAAATTTGTAAGTTTCACGAAATCTATACATATAAAGAATGATGCATGTGTGTGTGTTTGCGTTATTGATTTCTGATCATTTTTTTGCCACATTGAATCAACTAACATTGAGTATAGGTGAAATATTGGATGGAACTGGAGCTTTTACGACCATTCAATTAGAAAGACGAAAATCATTGAAAACCGAGTGCCATTGTTGCTGCTATAATGACAGAGAATTAGTTTATTTTTCTATCGAAATTTTTGATGTGGGTTCCCTATCACGTCAGAGTAAAAAATGTATGACTGTGAGTTGTATTTTTTGCGGTTACAGCCGCAGACGAAAACGTCGCGGAGAAAACAACGCAAGGCGAAAACGTCGTGCTACAAAACATCGCTGGAGAAAACATCGCAAAGAGAAAACATCGCAGTTCTAAAACATCGTGGTACAAAACATCGTCGTCCAAAATAAAGCAGTTCAAAAACTTCGCAGTTTGAAAATATCGTGGTAAAAAATAAAGTATCTACAAATCATCGCATGACGATAACATCGCAGACATGCTTTTTACAGACATGCTTTAATAACTGTAAATGAATATTCCCATAATGATTTGTGAGCGCAAGATGGAAAGAAGGATAATTTTTACTTCCATATTTTTTATTAATTAATAAATTTTTGCTGAGAAAATAAAAAGGAAACTTAAGCATAGAAAATTAATGCAAAATATAGCACTTAATAGAATTTTAAACCGACATTGTTAACTAACAAAGGCCATTAATAAATCATTTTTTATAAAGTTTTACTGGTAATTTTTCATGAAAAATATAATCTATAAGTTGCATTTAATTTTCTATGCTTAAGTTTCCTTCTTACTTATTCAGCAAAAAATTATTAGTTAATAAAAAAATGTGAAATTAAAAATTATCCTTCTTTACACCTTGCGCTCACAAATCATTATGGGAATATCCATTTATAATTATTAAAAACCTGAAAAAAAGTATATTTGCGATGTTATCGTCATGCGATGATTTGTAGATACTTTATTTTTTACCACGATATTTTCGACGACGATGTTTTTAAACTGCGAAGTTTTTGAACCGCTTTATTTTCGACGGCGATGTTTTGTACCACGATGTTTTAGAACTGCGATGTTTTCTCTTTGCGATGTTTTCTCTTACGATGTTTTGTAGCACGACGTTTTCGCCTTGCGTTGTTTTCTCCGCGATGTTTTTGCCGCGATGTTATCGGCGGACACCATTTTTTGCATCGTTATTAGGAAAAGATTACAGCGATATCGTTCTCCCCGTTGTTAGAAGCATTATTCTCAACTTAACAGGCACTGGGTACATCCGCTAGTGTTAGATAAATACGAAAGCCCTCTTCAATCTGTACGGTCACTAAATATGATGATGGATTTTAATATCAAATACCTCGATCATTTTTTGTCGTACAGAAGTCAAACCTTTTGTGTTTGTATATTACACATTAGATTTCCTTCGCAAAATCGTCAAGCCTTTTGGAAATTTCTAATCAACCAAAGCACTTGATTAATAGAGTTAACAAGGTTATGGAAAAGGTGAAAGATCTTGGAATAAACCTGTACCAGGTTTAGCATTAATAGGCATAGAGTATTGGTGCAAAGTACATAATCTTCGTGGGAAAGTCTGATTTAATGCTACATTTATAACAGATAAATGAGTTCCTTGAGATAAAGTTCTCAATAAAATTCAAGATAAATAGTCCTTGATAAATAATAAAGTTCAAGATAAATGTTCCTTGAGATAAAGTTTATTATAGATTCATATAATAAACTTTATCTCAAGGAACTATTGTGAACTATTATAAATTATGACTGTTAGCCTACTATTGTTATACCTATTGTAACTTCTATAATTATATCTAATAGATATGATGTCAATCAAAATATCGATATACTATTTATACTGTTATATTATGTGTTATATTATACTATGTACTATTTTGAATATTAATTTTAAAAATAAACCGAAGTGTAGTGGGACTATACCTACATTACTTATAGTAAACATTGGGTGTCCCACTACATTTCCACCTGAAGCTGAACCTGCTACATTTATAGATTTTAGTGATATTCTTATAACGGACTGATCTAATGAAATGATCATTGTACTGTATCTCATGCACCAACCCCATGAAAAACAATATGTTTACTTTGCTAATTAGTTACCACAGTCTTAATGTACCCTTTCAATAGTCACCCAGTACAAATTTTGCGTTTCTGAAATGCAGAAATATATATTTCATAAAAAATTACTGTACCAGTGTAGTGTATTGTAGCAAATATGAGGGTACAACATTATTGGTTTTTGTTGTTCCAGCCTGCTTACGTTTGTATGAATGATACTTATGGCAAATAATGTTTGAATTTGTAAAGCACATTAAGTATGTACTTTTCAATGATTTTCACGACTTGATTCTGCATTTGTATGAGCCTATATTTCACCTTCTGCTCCTAATATGCAAAATAATTACTTGTAAAATATTGACTGGTATAAGTGTATCTGTATTATTTTGTATGGCATGTTCAATATCGCGCATTATTTTATGAAGGTTTTTATGTATGTATAATATAATATTATTTAATCATACAACTTAATTGGGTGCTACTTTGGTAGACGGTTGCACAGATTTTGGCGATTTGTTAGCGATTTTTCTTTTGGCGAGTAATACAACTTATGGTAAACCCATTGATGGATAAATTATTTATGGTAACCGATACTTTGTTGACATTTTATTTAAAAAATAATGTGTTTTATTGTGCATAAATTGTGTTTTAAATATTATTTATGGCTTCTAAATATTAAAAATCAATTTAATTTTGCATTTTTATTTGAAATAAAAATTTTATTGTTTATCATATTTTATGAAATTTTATGTTGTGGATGATGTAATCAATTACGTCACCTTACTTTAAAAGTAATTGGTTTTTTTAATATGTATAAATTTAATCTAATGTTTTAAAAATTATATATGGCTGTTAAATATTAAAATACAATTTAATTTTGCATTTTTTTAAAAAATGATTTTTTTATGTATGAATTTTAATTCTAGGCGTGATGTAATAAGCTCTGATTGGTTATAGAATATTTGTGCATTAACGAGCTGTAATCAGCTCCCTGATTGGTTACTGACAATTTGTGCATTTCCGCGCCGTTTTAAAATTTAATTCATATCTTCGAATTCCTTCAAAGATGTCTTCAAAGATGTTATTTAAAATTATGATTCCGATTTTTTTTGTGGTACTTATCAATAAACAATAGGTTAAATGACTCAAAAAATGTAAGTACATATTTTTCTTTTATTTTATAATGGTATACTTCAATTTTTGTTAAAAAAATTAATACACTATTTTCAAAAATTGCTGAGATAATTACTGTCCATATGTTTTAATGTTAATTATATTCTATATAACGTATTTTAAAGTATTTAAATTTAATAATATTCTAATTCTTTTAAATGTTGGTATGATGATTTTTAATTCGATCTTCAATTTCAGTAATATTTTAATTTAGTTAAACGTTGGCACAATGTTTTATAGCGGTGTTTTTATTCTCTTCTTTGCTATATGAAAGTAATAGTAACCTTATTTTAGTATTTTATACTCATTGTAAATGTATTTATTTAAACTTGCCTGCCATCTTAAAAAGCGACATTTTCAACAAAAAATTAATCCATTACTTTTAACGATATTTATTTTTTCTTTTTAAGTTTCGAATACTTTACTATGCGTTAAAACAGCGTTTTTCAAGATGGCTGACGTTTGTAAAAATCGCGCCAACAATTGCGCCAGCGTAAATCGCCAAAAATCCGTGCAACTGTCTACCAAAGTCTACCCTTAATTGATACTTAGTATAAAGCCTTTTCCATTTAACTGTACACACACCAGCATTATGTTTTAATAATCCTGTTTTATTATGTACTGCATCATGCATATGTAGGATATTGCATGGTTTATTTACATAGTACGATATCGTAAGTACTGTAATGTATGACCTGTAGTCCCACTAGTCTCTGGATAAGGGTGGACGTGGTGCTATTACCAATTAACCATAACGGTAAAGAGATGGTGCCCACGTCCTCTGTCACTAAACTAAACTAAATTATTTTAATATGTTTCGAAAAAAATGAGTATATTAACGCATAAAACGGTTTCGTATTTCAATAAAAATTAATACGTTTTATAAGTGCATTATAACGCTATTTTTTGTAATGTTTTCTTGAATTGCATTAAAAATCAATTTTGTATAAAATGTGAAATATAAGTTTTTACACCTCTCTTCTGTTCGTATATTTGGGAGAATTATTATTTCTGTGAGTTGTCTGCCTGCCATATTTTCTCCACGGTGACACAAATGTATCCCGAAATTTACGTAAAACGAAAAATATTACAACTTACTTGAGTGCTATTCTGTAATGTTGAATAGCCATTAATTTATCGCCGACGTCCTTTTTGTAATTAGCGTAATTGTAGTGAACTTTTGCATTGTTGGGTGCCGACTCCAAACCAGACCTAAACAGAAAAGAAAGTATTTTTATTATAAATTTGCTGAAGGAATGTCTTGCATATTAACTAATTCCTATTAATTAATATATGAAAATTGAAAGAGACAAATAATTCATTTTCATGTTATCGTTAAAAAGAGTATAATTCATTTATTTATAGAATACAGAGGCTGTTCGCACATTTTTTAGACGATTTTGGTAAGCGCTAATAAAAAGTCGTTCGCTGCAAAAGAAGTAATTGCAATTGTACTATGTTTTTAAAAGTCAAAATTATCGTCTGTGGATTGAAAGTTTTCTTTTTATTCAAAATGGCGAATTTAACAAAGCAGTGGTTCGAAGGCTACATTTACGCTCTTTCCGAAGAGAAATATGCATACTCCGTTATCCAAAAAGGATATGAGAGTCATGGTTTTGTGATATCTAAAGCGTCGATAGGTAATATCATCAACAAGAAAGGAAAAGAACGTCAAATTGGAGCCTCAAGTGGGGCAAAAATTCCAAAGAAGTATCCAAGGAAAAGACGGACATCTTCAAGTATTGCAAACGTACGTTGTTTAATGTTAAAAGAAAATCCCCCTAGTCAAAGGACAGTTGCAAAATCATTAAAATGCTCGGTGTCCACTGTAAACAAAATGATAAACGTTGATTTAAATCTTAAGAAAGCGAAAAAACGCAATGTGCATCGTCTTCTTCCAAAGCATATCGCTCGACGCAGGACACGCTGCAGAATTCTATATGAGAAGCACTTATCCAAAGAAAAATGGAAAACAATTGTCACAATAGATGAAGCATGGGTGTATTTAAATGACTGTAACCAAAAAAGAGCCATTTATTATCATAAAAGGGGAGAAAAAATTTAAGTACATGGTTCAAATAATCGAAAGAAAGTTTTTTCTAAGGGATTCATGATTGTTGCTGGTTTTTCTTATAATGGCAAGTTAAAAATAAAGAGAGTGCAAAAAAATGTCAAGATTAACTCCAAATACTATCAGGAACATATTTTATCACCAATTTTTCTGAATGAAATACCATCGCTTTACCCACAGTGCCATCCATCTGTGAGACTCCATGAGGACAAAGCTAGCAGTCACACATCAAAATCCACTGTAAATTTCCTAAAAGAAATGGAACAAAAAACTGGTATCGAGGCCTTACCCTTCACTGATATCCCTACTAAATCTCCCGATGTGTCATCTATGGATTTTTGTGCTTTCGGACTTTTAAAAACTGCATTATCCAAACGTTGTCCCAAAACCCTAACGCTGTTCGGGAGGAATGGGATAGAATACCTCTTCTGCCACTTCAAAAGGCATTATTATCCTGCAAATTGCGGTGTCGAAAGATAGTTCAGAATAAGGGATGTCAAATAGAACATTTAAAACGCAAGAATGCTATGTAATTTAGTCTTGTGAATACAATATACGTCGTCCAAAAAATGTGTGAACAGCCTCTGTACATAGTTATTTCATGAAAGAACTGATGAAGTCAGAATCATAGAATACATAGTTATTTCGTGAAGTAACTACCAACTTATTTCACGGCACGAAAGTATCCTGGTTATCATAAATTAGGGAAAAATCACAAAAATAGCGGTAGCTCCTTTAAAAATAATCCAAACCGTGTAAAATTTGAATATGTTGAAAAGTAAGAGTAGCTGAGTAAAACTCCGATATGCAAATTAGTGGCACTGCTTTCGGAATACGTCATCCGCGAGGAGCATAAAAGTCCATGTTTGAGAACAAGCCACATATTTCACTGTGATAATGACATCAGAAATCTGAGATAGCCGATTCGTAACAATGATCTCCAGGCATCATTTGCCTGCAGAACTACGATAGAAAGCCATTGGGAGACTAGAGGCAGGACAAAGTCAAACAGAAGTGGCCAGATGGCTAAATGGGGGTCCTTCTGTGGTTCATAGACTTTGGAGGCAATTTCAAATCACAGATTCGGCACCTAGGAGGTTCAGCCAAGGACGGCCAACTGCTACGACGAGCGCCGATGACCGATATTTGACATTATGTGCACTCAGGGATAGAACCGCTACTCCGACTCTTCTTAGATCCTCCCTTGCTGCAGCCACCGGAAGGTTGGTGTCAACGTCAACTGTGCGTAGAAGGAGGTGGTCTTCACGAAGGTGGTCTGTATGCGAGGCGAACAACCCTTTATGTGCCGCTCAAGTCACGCCATAGCGGGGACCGTTCGCAGTGGGCACGACAGCATGTCCACTAGACGCCTGATCAATGGAGGACTATTCTCTTTACGGATGAGTCCAGGTTTAGTCTAGAACGCGACAGTAGGCGTTATTTGATATGGAGAGTACCTGAACCCCGTTATCATCCGTCAAACATCCGTGAAAGAGATGCATACGGAAGAGGCAGTGCCTGTGTTTGGGGTGGCATTTCTTTGGGTGGACGCACAGACCTTCCCGTTTTTACAAGGGGAACCGTGAATGCTCATGTTTATAGAGATGACATCCTTGATGTTTATGTGCGCCCATACATGCCGGGGCAATAGGTGACGCTTTCCTGTTGCAAGGACGACAATGCAAGACCACACAGGGCTCGCATTCGTAGATGATTATCTTCAACAGGAAACAAATATGCGCATGGAGTGGCCTGCTCGATCCTCGGACTTGAATCCTATCGAGCACGTTTGGGATGCTTTAAGGAGACGTCTAGCTGCTCTCAATCCACTCCCTTAGACCCTTGCCGCGCTTGCAACAGCTTTGCAAGAGCAATGACTTTCGCTTCCTATGGAACTGATAGACCGCATAATTGAAAACATCACACATCGCTGAATGTGCTGTATTGCTTCTAGAGGCGATTGTATTCCATATTGAAGGTACTTTTACTATAGCAAACTGACATCTTCGATTTGTTCATTTTATACATGTGCTAATTTCTGTACTACCATAATTGTCTGGTAATTTCTTTTTATGTTATTTGATGCCTTACTATGTGTTGTATATTGTGGGTAATTTGCATAAAATTCTACATGTAACGTTTTCAGTAATTGTGATTTTTGTGATTTTTCCTTAATTTATGATAACCAGTGTATTTCGTTATTTCACGAAATAACTTAGTGGACAATTAGTATTCTAACTTAAATTTTGATAATTAAAATGGTAACCAATTTTTAATCTGATATTTTTATGGTTGCATATTACAAATAGCCAAAATGTTTAACACAAATAGCCAATATGTTTTACAAATGTCAAAATATATATTTTTTCAATATTTCTATTGAGAAGTTAAAAAATAATCACTGTAAAATATAGTGGTGGTAGTAAATTTTTTCAATTTTTGTTCAGATGGTACGTGTTAGTCAAGAACCTCTGCTATAGAAGTTCTTTAATTTAATTTATATAAAATTGGGCCATAGTTACTGTAAAAGGTACTAAAGAAGTTTTACCATTGTATTACTTTACAGAATTCTTTAAGACGATTTCGTAAAGGCTCTGCTGCACATTGTTTCCCTCAACCTGTTCTAGACAAAGGCCCCTAAAAGCAGAAATGAGAGCTATTATTTAAAATACTTACATGAAAAGTGCCTCACGTGAAGTCCAAACGTTGTTCCTTGCCATAGTTTTCAGCAGAAAAAGCAGGATGAGAAGTAGTGCGCCGGCGCGGCAGAGCCAGGCAATCAGAGGTCCTCGTTGCATCAGTCGTTGTAAACCGTGGCTCACCAGTAAGCAGAATCCTAAACTGTTGCCAAAAACAAAAAGAAGTTTATAAATTATAAAACTGAGAATGCCTCTTTGAACTCCAACACTATAAAGATAATGAATCAAAGTAAATTCTTTCAAGCTCGATTACCGCTGTTGGCTGATTTAAGAGGTCAACTCTGTGAATCGGAAAATTAAATTAACTTTCTCAGACGATAAAAGAAAATCAACAAAGAACCACAGATGAAGGAAAAAAATGTACTTGTGTTTACGTTTTTATGATGAAATAATTTTGCTTAATAGGAAGTATTTATATATTTTGAAATGTCTAAATATAATTTAGTAGTGCTATTAAACGAAGATTTATTCTTCTTCAATATCATGGCAATCGAGTCGTTTCAGGTCAAAAAACTGGTAAAGCCCCAGGGGTACCTCGCATGAGTGAGTCTTCACTGCATTTCCAGAAATCGATATTTGAGGAATGAAGGAACGAACGAACGAACGAATAAAAGACCGAGATTTCAAAAGATTGAAACCATGAGCAGTAGAAAAGGCTACAATGAGCTGGAACGCAAACAATAGAAGTAAGGTAAGTAATATTCACATGTTTGAAAAGTTTTTCAAATGTGTGAAATCACCTGCAGCGTTGGGTAGCTTGACGAAAAATATACACAAAATACATTTTAAATAATAAATAAAAGAGAAAATAAAAGGGATGAAATGCTAACAGAAAAAAACAAATACCGTATATACCCGCGTATAAGTCGATACCGCGTATAAGTCAACCCCCTCCCCTTCGACATAAAAAACTCGTAGAAAATAAGAAACCCGCGTATAAGTCGACCCCCCACTTCCGAAATCGATCGAGAAACTTCGATGATCGTATATAATAACCTTCTAGGTTAGGTTATTTAATTACGGCAAAGCCTCGAGGGCTATCTGCCTAAAGGGAGGAACCTTCGTGAGGACTTCTTGGAACTGGCTCGTATACACGTTACACTGGGAAACCGAAACACCCAGCGCCAGCCCTTTACGGATTCGAACCTCGGCCGAACTACCAGTACACGACTTACGCTCGGCCGCTGGTGGCCTAGTAACCTTTTAGAATTTGTTCCGGAAAAGATTCGCGTACGTAAAATCTATCTGCATTTTCCCTTTTTAAAAGTTAAAAGAAATATTGAAAACTGTTCAGCTATTGCGTGGGCTGTTTTTTTAAATTTTGACGTGTACGCCTGTTAACAATAATATTTCATGAATGAACACCTGAATGCACTGAAGCAAAATAATCAAGGAATACATTCTACGATTAAATTAGCCCTCAGAGGTATTATTATGTGAAATGTCTAAACATTTTCAGAATTTATCACTAAAAGGAAAAATCTGTGAGGAAATACGTAGAGCTGATTGATTAGAGCAAATTGAAAAAATTACCAACGTATATATCAATGATCGTGCCATGCAAACCGAAAGCACCGAATGAAATGATCTTTTTTATTTGTAAAAGAAAAAATTGTGTTACTAAAATAAAAAAATATATTCACACTTTCCTGTTATCAGGACCGCTTATTCCTTGTTATCAGGACTGTTGCATTCAGAAAAGTATGTGTTACGTACTCTTAGACATTCATACATACATGCATAAGTACATTTCTGAATGCGGTCCCGATACAAAAGTACCTGTATTCTCAATAAATTTTAAATTTCGCCTGTAAATATTTATCAAAATAAGCAGGAACAAATATCATTATCCAAAAGGGGAAAAAAAATCAAATTCATATTTATCTTCCAACAAAATTTAAAATTTAGTACCTGCAAGGCATTTTTTTTAAGGTTACACATTACAATTCAAATGCACTGGTAGCTAAATATCAAATTCTCAAGTTGACATTTCTTTCAAATACACTGCTGGCCACCCAAATTGCAACACCAAGAAAGACAAGAGATATCTCAACCAAATTTATTAAGTAGATACCATGTTGACCAAGTATCAAATGATTAAATTTATAGACTTCTGTGAAGTGTGGTTCCTTCCAGAATCAGTAGCCAGAGTAGCCGCCCATTGTGGGAGATCACCGCTGCCACACGCCTGGGCATTGATTCAAAGAGACTTTGGATGTGTTTTTGTGGTACAACAGACCAAGCAGCTCTCACACGTTGCCAAAATTGATCTGGTGTGGCAGCTTGGGATGTAATCTGGGTCAATCGTTCAGCAACCATGGACCACATGTTTTCTATCGGCGAAAGATCCGGAGAGCGAACCGGCCAAGGAAGAAATTCAATCTGGTGATTGACGAAGAACCCTTGGAGAATGCGTGCCACGTGTGGTTGCACATTATCCTGTTCAAATATGGCTGTGGGCAAGCCCTGAAGGTAAGGAAGGACAACTGGCTCCAACACCTCGGAGATGTAGCGCTGGCTGTTTAAAGTACTGTCAATGCGTATTAGAGGAGTGCGAAAAAGATATCCAATACCGACCCATACCGTAATACCCGGTGCAGGACCAGTGTGCCGGTGCATAACGCAACTGTTCAGCATCCTCTCTCCACCGTGTCTCCAGACTTGAATCCGACCATCGAGGTGTTGCAGACAGAAGCGTGACTCGTCAGTAAAGACAATTTCATTCCATTCTGCCGTCTACATTCTTCTTTCATCGCACCATTGGCGGCGGAGACGTCAGTGGTTCTTCGTCAAGGATAGACGAAGCAATGGACGCCTTGCGGACAGACTGCTGTAAACGGCGTCGAATGGTACGCGCAGAAACTGGATGATGCGTTACAAATTGAATGTGCTGTGCTATGGTTCGTGATGTGACTGAGTGATCCGTCACTGCCATGCGCACAATGTTCCTGTCATCACATGAAGTGGTACATTGAGGTGGATGCGATCGAACACGTCGGTCCGTCGTACCCTCCTGCATCCAACGGTCATATATCCGCATTACTGTTGTTTGATTTCGTCCAACACGACTACCGATTTCCCTGAAAGATAGTCCACACTTTCGGTAGGCCACTATGCTTCCTCTGTCGATCTCGGATACTTGATCAAACGATGATCGCTGTTTACTAGAAGGCATAATTGACCTTTTGTTTTAAACCACAAGAAAAACACAATTGCCGAACTTGATATCTTCGAAAACTCCAAGCCTTAAATAGCGCTTTGAAGTGGCACCACAGACGCGCGTGATGTGCATCTGCGCTGAAATTCCAGTCATTTGCATATCTCACCTCCGCTAATGCACGGTGTAAATTTCATGTTATTTGCATGCTTCCTTCAGGGTGTTGCATTTAGGGTGGCCAGCAGTGTAATTGTAACAAGACTATGCAATCATCAACAAAATTAATTTGATCTAAAACAAATTTCAGAAAAAAATTACCACGAGACTAAAGGAGCCTAATTGTTAAATTCATCTTCGACGCTTAATTAAAATACATAAATTTGTACGTAAATAAGTACAAATTCTTTATTTCTTATTCTATCTTGAAAGGTAATGGCGTTTCGATTCTAAAAGTTTGGATCTAAAGCCTCACACAGAAATCATTAAAAAATTGTTTCCGTGAATTTCGATGCTCATCGGTCCATCGGGTTCTTTTCTTATTATCTTCAGCTGCAAAGAAAAATTCGTGCACGTGTGTTCTCAAGCAAAGCAAACAGATTTGTTTTTTATCAAGTGCACAATACTAACCAACCTCTATCTTCGAATCCTTAAATAAGATTAATATCACATTATCAATTAATGCGGTTTATTTATAGATTTTCTAATGCTTTATTCGTGTTCATTTTTAATAAAAATGAAAATAGTGTTAACTCAAACATCTATGTTATGGCCAATTTTTCCATACTTTGGTTCTGCGATTCAAGGAATGCCAAAATTGCAATTTTTGTAAAAATCACACGAGTAGTTTTTAAAACATTAGCTTTCAAAATTTTAGCTTTCCGACATTAATTGAATTTGGTATATATTTATAATAACTCTTTTTTTAATTAAACTTATTTGCTTGTTTTTTCATATTTCAAAATTTAGGGTCATTCAAAATAAAATTCGCCCATTTTTTTATGATTTATTTTTAAAATTTGTATTTTAAAAAAAACGTTTATACATTTTTCCAAAATATTTTGAATTGTAACTTATAAAATTTTTGCCATCTTCTTAATGTAGATTTATTTCGAAGCATACCTGCAAAAAATTAGAGTTTTTTTGTTAAACATTTTTTAAGATATATGTGAATTTAAATTTTGGCTCGTTTTCAAATTTGGTATATTTATTATAAAACGGTAATAACGAAAATGTGATTTACTCACTTTGTTAAAATTATATTAAGGAATGAACGATGGACCTTTTTTCTGCTCGTATATCCATGAAAAAAAGGAAAGTAGGTTACTAAAAATTAAGAAATTCGCCGAGTGAATTAGTCTTAGCATAAACTGAAAAAGGTGCGGCAAGATAAATTTTTTAATTTCTCCACAAATCTTTCACCGAAAATGACAAAAATTATCTAGGCGTAATCTGAGTCGTAGAATCGAAATATAGAAAAGAATGGTATGTTATTTCAGAAAAAAGTCCCATTTTTTGTCCAAATACCTATGTTAGAATAATTGATATATATAAATGTAATATATATCTTAAATCGCGCTTTCGAGATATAAAAAATGCAATTTGAATTTCGTCAATCTTCTCAGTAGAACGGAACATTACAAAACTGTCCCCCCCTTTTTTTTTTTTTTTTTTTTTTTTTTTGTAGTTAACAAGTTCACTATCGTAGAACACTGAGTGTTAAATTAACATACGCGTATTGTTGTCGGCGGAAGTCTACGTGTTTAATGTTTGTAACTTCATGATTCTAAGTCTGGCAACCGGAGAGTGTATTCTTATGCGTTTTAATTCAGCGAGAGAATTGTCTTAGATGTTTTGAAATATAACCGTTGTAATTATAAATGTTACAAACAATAAAAAGATTAAGACACAATAACACGCCGAACAAATACTAATTCAGAAGTCAAACGACAAAAATCAGCGTTATAGTTTCGATAATTTTATCGAACTATCATCCTCAGCTGCAAAAGCGCAAATGAATTCTGAATTAATGAAAAGATTGTTGTGTTAATACTGTGTACATTGTTTGAGTTTTGGGTATTAATAATATCGATTTGTAGCACAGTTTCGAAATCGATATCCGTTGTCTACTGCCACGTGCTTGTCTAAAAACGTTCTCTTTACAATTTGAAAAAAATGAGTTTCGAAATTTTCAGAGTTGATTTCAGAACATCTTACCTTGGAATATAAAGTATCCTTTCGGCGACCACAAATCCCACTGTGACGAGCAAGTTTGAAGCAGGAAGGAATGAGAACACCATGAGGGACAAAGATAAAAGTATTCTTCTTCTGTCCATTCCCTAAGGATTAAAATTAAGATTAATATACATTTCACGCTAATGAATAGGACTAGATAGAATAGATAACGATTTTTTTTT